TATGTGGTGATCCATAACCTTGTAATTACCCAAAGACACTTGCAACTGGAAATGAGTTAACACGTTTCCTTCCCAGAGCTAATGAGAAGATCAAGGAGAAATTCTCTCTTCCTCCTACTCCATTTTCTTTCTTTATCCTGCCTGGGCTTGCACCAGACCCATGCTGCACAGCAATCACTGGGAAGGAGCAAAAAGCTATGATTTCCCTCCCATTTCATTTACCATTGAGTTAAGGTATCACTCAGTTTTACATAAAAATCATTTCATATACTTGATTCTGATAAATCTCCTCACACTGCGTACCCACTCTCTCTATTGAATTAAATGGTATCATATGTCCAAAATCAGACTTTAACATAAAGAAATGTTCTTGTGGTGTATTTACTGAGCTCTTAAGTATATCACAGGACAAGAAAATACCCATTAGTGGTTACATCAACACTATGCTGCTGTAACATCAGTAGGATACTACGAGAGCATCACAGGCGTTCTTATTTTCCCCAAGATAAATGCAGCTCTGTGAACTGTGCCATGAAAATCTCATTCAGGTGCCCAAGAGAAGCCAACTTGTGAAGTCTGCTTTTCTTCAAAATCTGTAAGTACTGGAAAAAAAGCTGGATTACCTCAGTGGATGACACCATCACAGCTGTCACAAAGCCTTTCTGGCACCTCATTTCCCCTTTAACAAAGCCAGTCAGCACTGCTAGTTGACAAAACAAAACTAGAAAAGTTCTGAATTGCAGTTTCTCAGGCCCAAAGAACAGATTCAACTAGAAATACTAAGCAAACACCAGCCAGAATGTCACACTGCATGGCTCCTTCAGCCTTCCCACACAAAGTGTTATTTTACTTCCTTCCAGTAGCAAAAGAAGTTGAATTCAGGTCTCCCTATTAAAGGCAGGTGCTCACAACCCGAAGTTGCTGGAAAAAAAAAGCAAAGGGTGGGGAAAGGACTTCTTTCCTCCTCTGCATTAGCTGCTAAACCAATTTGTCCTTGAGAAGACCTGCACAAACAGACTGCAGAGAGCATGGTAACAGGAAGAGCTGATTTTGGGTATCTCCTGAGACAGAGAGAGCAGGATTCCAGTTTGCTACCCCAAGTGTATAGGAACTCATACAGAATATTGCACAGCTAGCAATATGAATCAGCATCCAAACCCAAATTGCCACTGGGAGTTGGGAGTGGAGTTTTCAGAATCTAAGTTGAGAAGTTGATACTTTCATCCCTTTTGTGAATTTAGCTGGTATTAGCAGCTACCCATGTAATTTCAAATCTAATTTATCACCAGCAATCTTCATTTTTCAAGGGAAATCTATGCATCCCCTTCAGATTAATTCTCTCACCCAAGGAGGGAGCTCAAGCAGAAAGCCATGGAGAACACTATTAAGAGAAGTAAGCGCTGGGAGAGAAATAAGGAGTATTGTTGTGGAGAAAAGACAATTATCTTGAAATATATAAATCACAGCTCAGTTCAAGCAGGGTATATTCAGACTTTTCATGATTTACAGCACTTGAGACAGGCCTAATACAAGAGAACACATTTTTTCACAACAGTTCTGATTTTCAAATGAGAATGAGAACTCTCAAACACCAAAAGTAAACTGTGAAGTGACTCTGATGTTTCTTTGTTTCTGAAGTTACTGCCCATACTGCTATAGCAGAAGCCCCAACTACATAATCTTGTAGTAAAAAGGAAAATCCATGCTTCAAGCAGACTGTTTCTCTGTGCCAAATAGTGTTGCAAAATGCAGCCTGATGAGATCTCTGCTCTCACTCACACATCTCACAGATTCACTGCTTGGCAGCTTTCTTCCTGCTGGTTCATAACAGTTTTCCCTAAGATACACTAGTTTGCACTGCCCAAGGTCAATCTCACCAAATATGCTGCCTGAATTTATAACCACTCTTCGGTAACTGGCACTGCTGCTCTCACTATTTGGGGGGGCATCTCTGAGCCCACAGCACTTTGCAGTCCAAGATTCCATGTAAAGGAGTATCACTTCTATTTTATTAAACTGTCAGTCCATATAGCACATGCAATATCACAAACATTTGTTCCACAAATAATTTTTTATGAGATTTTTAAAGTTTGCTTACTGAGATGCAGATTCTGTCAGTCTGAAAAATCAAGCAATTCTATTATCATTATTTTTTATAACTGAAGCTGTTTCATCATACACTCATGGAGCTCAGTCCTGCTTCTTTTACTTACCCAAACAGTTCCAGTGCCATAGCTTATGAGAATGTTAAGCATTTGGCCCCGTATACCCATTTAACCCTATTTTTAAAAAGCATTGATATCTGCCATCTTCTAACCTGTAATGGCTAACATGATCTCTGGAGGGTGTTCAGCACTTATGTGTCAGTGAAAATAACAGTCAGTACGCATTAAATATTCAAAATAGCACCAATAGATCACAAAACTTCTTTAAGGAGTCACACAGATTTCCAAGAGGAGCCTGGGTGGTGACAGATCTGATCACACGTCCTGTACTTTGACTGTTCCTACATGGCACAATGCACCCTAAGATATCTCACCCTGTCTAGCTGCTTTCACTATAAGGAAAATTAATAACAAAAGCATTTTAGCTGCTTTTTTTTTTACTGTGGTTCTCTAATCTTCAGATCTTCAAAGCAGAGACAAACTCTCTAGTCTGCCCCACAGAGAAGGGGCTGTAGCCCCTCACTAGGACTGTCCAACATAGCCAGTGCAGCCTTACTACAGGTTTCAGCTGTCTGCAGTGCAAGACCTAGTTCTGATAGCAGCAGCTCTGAGAAACTTCGGGAAAAAATAAGCAGTGAGAAAGAACTGCAGAGAGAAAAGTACACAGAGTCATGTGAGATAAGAAAAAAAAATAATGCAGTGGGTTATGCTGAAATGTGGATAGCTAACAGTTCAAGGATTCAAAAGGAAAAAACACTGATATTAAAATGTGTAAAATCCTAAGAGAATAAAACAAGCGGCCGGAGGATGGCAATTCTGCAACAACCAGCCCATTCCAAGGACGGCAAAGACATTTCCCTGCATGACTGACACCTGGTGGGCCAACAGAGACCTGCTGCTTCACAGGAAAGCCTCTTCACGAAATGTCACCTTCAGAGCCTCCCAACTTAGAATCACAAAAACACGGAATCACTAAGGTTGGAAAAGACCACTGTGATCATCAAGTCCAATCTCCGACCCATCACCTCCACTCCCACTAACCATGTCCCTCGGTGCCACATCTGCATTTTCTTGAACACTTCCAGTGATGGTGACTCTACCACCTCTGGGGCAGCCCATTCCAATGCATTACCACTCCTTCTGACAAGAAATTTTCTCCAACTTGATAGGTTTCCTTTAGGTGTGAAACTGTAAAAACCATGAACTTTTAACTACTGGTTATCAAATGCCAGACCAGACAACCTCTAGTTTGTCTTAAACTTTTATTCCTCACTCAGGACATTAGCCACATGATTTAGTGCTGAAGTGAGTAATGAAATGCAATATACTGTGGGATACTTTCAGAGCAGGGAATCATCATTTCTGAATCATCTTGATGTAAAGATCTTGGATACTGCTGAGAAGACCTGAGAATCAAAGGAAGTAGCTCAGATCTTCCAAGCAACTGATGGAGAGTTCATTGCCAAAAAAAGCAAGAGGAGAATCTGTAAATGCAGGAATTATAAGGCCCCTGCTACTTAAATTATTGAGGCCACTAATTAAGAATACATTAGTGATAATTATGCTGCATTGATGCCTTGACAACTGTAACTTTCTGGTGGAATGTGGTAAACTGACATAAAAGGCACCTCCTTTCTTCCCTCTCTGTAACAGAAAGAAACTAACAGAAAGCTTTTCTCTAACTTCCACACAAAGATTACAGTCAGAACACAATTAAACCCAAGAAGACAGTACTGAAGGAGTTGATAAAGATATGAGCAACAGGGTTCTCAGACCTAAATTCTCCATGTGATTTTAGTATACACAAATGAAGAACCTCCATTTTACTTCAAGTTATATGAGGGAAACTTGAAAGGACTGTCTCAGGATGAGACCTTAGAGGAATAAAGAAGAGACTGGCAGCTTGAAGCACACAGTGATCCGGCAAACTGCACAGCTTACAGATCCTTCACCAGCTTGTGAAACCTTAATAAGCACTTTATTAGAAAATTTCTTTAAAATTATTTTTTTTTTAAGCAATGCAAACATTTATGGCAGTCTGATAGCACATCAGTATATAACAAAACTCATTTCTCGAACTGCTGAAGACATACGAAGGTCAGCTTTGTGTTGAGGTGGCTTTGAGTCATTTCTGTTTGCAGAAGATGGAATCTTAACACCGAGGAGAACTACATACCTCTTACGGTGTTGACAAGAAGTGCTAAAGAGACATCAGTCACTCAGTGCAAATAGCAGCGGGGAGGCGACTGCTATCACTGCCGGCTACTCTGCTTCCTTTACAGTTTCCCATCTGACATTTCTTATCTGGCACGTAGGAGACTTTCTTTATCCATGAGGCTGCACTGCAGAGCTGGTGTACACTGTAGCTGGTGACCTCGCGTGGGCCGCCTGTAACACAGCACTCAAGCACATTCTCCACGAGCATTTTATGCCCTTCCTGGAGCTCAGCGTGACGGTGGGGAAAATCAGGTGAGTATTTAACAGGGCTGGAAAATAATTTCCAACCGGGCAAACCGAGACGGATGAACGACGACGGACCGCACCGTCAGTAAGCGTTCGAGTGCCCATTTTGAGGCTTATTTCTTTCAAGCGTCCTCCCACAGGGCGTTAACGCAGGAACACCTCAGCGCCTGAGCGGTGCGGCGGGCAGCACCCCGCGTGAGGGGAAGGGCGCTCCGCGCAGCCCCGCGCTCCGCCCGCCGAGCCCCGCAGCGCCGCCAAACGCCTCGAGCGGCCGCGCCCCCGCGCCAGGCACTGAAAAAGGCCGGAGCGCGGAGCCGCGCCGCTCACAGCCCGCCCGCCGCCAGCCGAAGGTCGTGTCCCCTCAGCGACGCCATGACCGTGCTGAAGCTGTCCCTCGTGGCTTTCAGCTTCGTCTTCTGGGCGGCGGGGCTGACCATGCTCGTCGTCGGCCTCTGGGCCGAGGTGCGGCTGGGGGGCTACGTGGCGCTGTCGGCCGGCGACACCCCCGGCGCCCCCGCCATCCTCCTGGCCACCGGCACCGCCGTCATGATCTGGGCCTTCCTGGGCTGCTTCGGCGCCGCCGCCGAGCACCGCGGCCTCCTGCGCACCTACGGCGCCTTCCTGGCGGCCGTGCTGTTGGCCGCGCTGACCGCGGGGCTCTCGGCGCTCGTGTACCGCCAGGACATCGCGCGGGGCTTCCGGGAGGGGCTGCGCCAGGCCCTGAGCGCCTACGGCGAGGACGAAGGGAAGGCGGACGCCCTGGACGCTTTGCAGCGCGCGTTGGGCTGCTGCGGTGTGGAGAGCTACCGGGACTGGCTCGCCTCGCCCTGGGCGCTCCAGCAGAACGCCTCGGTGCCGCTCAGCTGCTGCCGGGCCCGGCGGGGCTGCCCGCTCAGCCCGGCCGGCGCACGCGGCCTGCACCCGGAGGGCTGCTTCGGCAAGGTCTCGGCCTTTGTCAGCAGCAACATGTTCTGCGTTGCCACCGCTGCCCTGGGGCTGGCGGTGCTGCAGGTCGTCGGCATCGTGCTGGCGTGCCTGATGGCTGCCCGCGTCCCTGCTCGCGTTACCGCTCCGCACTGAGACCTCCCCAGGTCTGGCTCTTGTCACCTCCTGCTCCCTTCTTGCCCCTGGATCTGGGAGATCTGAGTGCGCCCCATCTGGAAGACCTCTTCATCGTCCCCATTTCACCCTTCCTCACGGTCTGTTCCTCTGCTGCAGCCTCTGTCAGATATGACAACACCACAGGTATCTCCACAGCCCCTTGGAGCTACCTCCTATCCTGGCTGTGTCCCTGTGCGACAGCAGGTTTCCACTTCCCTCCGGAGCCTCTGGGCACAGAGTGGAGAGTGACAGCATGTACAGACATCACCCTGATGGGCCAGATGGAAGCTGGGTGACAGTTGAGCAGGTGTCTGGGTGATGTGAACAGACAGAGATACTGAAATGGAAGCAGGAAAGAGGAGAAGGCCTGTGGGAGCAATGCAGATATCTCAGCATTTTATTGTATGCATGTTCTGAGGCCAGGAGCTGCTGGAAGATCAGTGTCACTGGAATACTGGAGTGCACAAATGGCATGTGGGGTCTGGGTAGGTCTGGGGACAGCCTCTGAGGGCTGCTTGTGCTCCCTGCAGGATGGACCACACCACCGTGCTTCACTCTAGTGAGTTCCTTGCAAAGATGTCCAGGTCTAGACATTTCCAGCCTAGGAATTATGAACGTAGCTAGCAAACCTGTAGAGAATTAGGTAAATGCCAACAAATGATAGCTGGAAAGGAAATCGTTAGTAACAGCTTGGGAGGGGAGAGTGGAGTTTCCCAGGGCAAAGGGGTTTAGCAGTAGGGCCCAAGTAAAGAATGCACAGGAATGGAGAGTGAGAAAAACTAGGCTTCATGGAAGCAGGCTTCTGGGATTTTATGACAATGTTCCTGGGATGAAGCCAGGGCAAAACTTGTATTTAACTCCCAAAGATTCTGATTTTAGGTATTTTCACTATTAGTAATTGTGAATTTAAAAATATCTGGAAATGCCACTATTTCTGTCTTTTATGGTAACGAAGCCCTTTTCTTGCTCTCTGCCTGTTTCCTTTTGTTTGAAAGAGGGACTGATTGGTCAGTTCTGTGATGAATTTGTCCAGTCTGTAGAACTGTAATTGTTTCTGACCTGGTGACAGTACTGTAATTTGGCCTGTAATTGACAGCCTCCGACCACATGAACTGCTGTCATAAAGGTGCAGTAGTTCTGTAGAGCAAAGCAAGCTGATGGTAGGGACTGTTGAAAAATGGTGCTTTATGGGTGAGAATTTGCTATGTCAAACAGTGTTATTTTGCTGTTTGTATCTGTTGTATTTTCCATGGAAATAAATAGGAGGCAGTACTTTCAGAGAGACCTGCACACAAGCAAAATTCTGCAAGGACCAGGGAATATCCAGTACTCTCGAGTGCTGCAGACTGCTTTTGCCGCTGGAGTCAGCAGTCCTCAGAGTCAGTTCTCTTGATCAAAGAATACAAGATCAAAAATATAAAAAGAGAAATTGGGTTCTGTCCTGATGATTTATGTGTTTAACAATGTTAGGAGGAGTAAGATGCCCTCATCAGGAAGGTTTTCAGGGCTGTGCCTAAGTCACAGAGGTCTGTAGTATGCCTTTTGGGTGGGCCGTTCTAGTCAGCATGGATGGATGGAGCTTACAGGGGTGGGTTAACAGTTATGTTATGCCTGAGCGTTAGTTGTGGTTTTGTTACCTTCCAATTGCTCAGATGTCAGGTGGCTATGTTAAGTAGCATGATAATCGGGTTCCAGGTAATGAGTGCAATGTAAACAGGCTTCTTAGCCATTTGACAATTCATCTGCATAGATGAACTCTGGATATGTGCTGGGAATTTCTCTTTTTAGAGCAAAAGTTTCATTCTATTTTTTTTTCTGAATTGTTTCTTGTTTTAAATAATTTAATTGCCATTGTTGTTTATGAATGTCCCTGTACTAACATGTTTTTGATGTTTTTTTTGGAATTAGGCACTAATGGAACTCTGCTGTTTTCTGAAAAATCACTGTCATTTTGTAAAGTCTTAGCAGTGTGCAAAAAGTGTAATTTGTATTAGGAATGGTACTTCAGAAATAAAGTAATGTTACAAGCAATGCAAGTCACTGTCTGAATCCAACTCAATACTTTGTGTGTGTCTCTGCGTTGTTCAAGTGCAAGAAAAATGAAGTGTACATTGAGATGCAAAGACAGAAGTATTTTTATTATTCAGAAAAATAAACAGCAAAGCAGAGATTATGGGGGATGTTGGCAAGGAACATGGAGTTGCCCTGTATTTATGAGCGCTGTCTTCACCTGAATCAGTAACCTTGGAAAGTTACAAGAATGTTGCTCAGGTCTTTTTTAGCACCACAGGTTGCTCAGTTATTTCTGATGTTGATCCAGATTGCATGGTAGGACAAACAACGAGCAATCGGAATGAAGGATGCTGCTGAAACCTGCTTGCTCTGAAAACTTGTGTTGATATCCCACTCAGTGCATGTTTTGTTTTAAGCCGTTTAAAGAAGTTTGAAACAAATAGGAGTGACAGGAGCCAGCTTTTAAGCGAACCACTGCGTGTTTGTGTGGTGGCCAGGCCTGAGTCTCAGGACATCACATTAATGTGATGAATAGCTGAAAATGGAAACCGCTCTACACGTGGTCTGCTCTCACTGGAGGAGGAGAAACCTTGGCACGTGTTCACAGGAAGGTTACATATCACTGTAACACTGCAGACATCACAGAGTACCTGTGAGGTCTCCTTGGCTGTTTATTGCTAGTTCAAGAATAATCAATCACAACATTAACTTTTGTAGATGAATGGGAGAAATGTCATTCTTTTCTAACTCCCAGATGAGCAGATTCCCAGAAGCTGTTAGAGTTGTCTCAGGTTTTTTTTGTGCTCAGTGACCAAATTTTAATTTAAAAAATGTTTTAGATTCAGTCTTATTTTTGTTCTGAATGGTCGGAACAGCTGTAACTGGAAAATGTTAAAGCAGAGGCCCCATTCAGGCCTTGATGCAGTATGTAGTTGTCTTCTGTCATCCTCCTCTGGGCAATTACTTAGACTTTAAGAAAGCCCGATCCCATCTTTTACAACTACATTTGATCAATTAAAAAACATACCAAAATGGGGGCAAGCTGTGTTGCAAGTGTAGAAACAACAGTGCTGTTGTTTGGACCAACTGAGATTTAGGATTAGCAGTGATAAGATTAGACCCCTGTTATGAAACAAGGACTATTTCCTAACAGTGATCAAAAATACGACTAGCAAATTTCATGGCTGTTTTGATCTTTTGCCTTACATCAGTTGCTCAGTGTATTTGTGTATCACTGAGTTCCACTTCACAGATAGCTGGAATTAAAAATTAGCTTCTTAATGGACTGTGAACCTCAAAAAGAGGTGGTGTTCTTGGGTCTCTTTCTCATCGCATCCTAAATTGTGTCTCAAACAGCTGACAAAAGAAAAGTTGGAAGAGGCCAATGTAATTTGCTGAGAAACCAGTGAAACTCTATGAAGCAGTAACAATATGAAAGAACATAATGTCTGCACACTATCAAGCAAGATTTAAGCACACATTTTCAGAAGCCTTAGATTTACTGATCAAATATGTGAGTTTGCACATAAACCACTGACAGAAAAAAAAAAGGAGCTATTGAAGCATCATAATGTTCTGTCCACATGAGCTCTCATTTGCAGCAAACACTACTGCCTGTTAATGATCTTAATCCATGCAATAGAATTTAGTCGAGACTCTTATCTGGGCCACAGGATTAAACTTATCAAAGTAAGCATTATTTATTATTATTACTATTTCAAATGTTCTAATTATTCTAGAAAGATTTTTAGAGCAATTTCTGTGAAGCTTTGCTTCTCCCATTCTCCAGTTTTGCTAATGTCTAGAGTTCACAGAATCACAGAATCACAGAATCACAGAATGGCCAGGGTTGGAAGGGACCTCAAGGATCATAAAGCTCCAACCCCCCTGCCACATACAGGGCCACCAAACTCCACGTTTAATGCTAAACCAGGCTGCCCAGGGCCCCATCCAACCTGGCCTTGAACACCTCCAAGGATGGGGCATCCACAGCCTCTCTGGGCAGCCTGTTCCAGCACCTCACCACTCTCTGGGTAAAGAATTTCCCCCTGATGTCCGACTTAAATCTCCCCTCCCTCAACTTAAAACCATTTCCCCTCGTCTTACACGTATCAACCCTTTCAAAGAGTTGATTCCCCTCCTGTTTGTAGGCTCCCTTTAGGTACTGAAAGGCTGCAATGAGGTCACCCCGCAGCCTTCTTTTCTCCAGGCTGAACAAGCCCAGCTCCCTCAGCCTGTCCTCATAGGGGAGGTGCTCCAGTCCCCTGATCATCTTTGTGGCTCTCCTCTGGATCCTCTCCAACAGCTCCCTGTCATTTTTGTACTGGGGGCTCCACACCTGGACGCAGTACTCCAGATGGGGCCTTACAAGAGCGGAGTAGAGGGGACAATCACCTCCCTGTCCCTGCTGGCCACCCCTCTTCTGATGGAGCCCAGTTGTTCTTAGGCCTCTTAGTACCGTTTGGCACCGGCATTTTAAAATGGTAAGTTGTGCTCTGTAATAAAACCTCGGGAAAGGAGTCTCTCCTGTTTAGTGTTCATCATTTCTGATAGGTCCAGTTCTTCCAGCTCACAAGGGATGGAGGGCAGGGAGTATCTCTGGTCAGTTCTAGGACTGACTGGTTGTCTTGGGATTGATAATATCTTGTCCTTAATACCCATGTTAGTAACAATAGTCCTAATGATTTCTTACTATTCAGAGTGCATTTTCCATGGCCTTTCCTGTGCTTTTTGATTTCTTGACTTTAGGCAGCGCTGTGTTGGGTTACTGCTACCTTTTAGTAATTTACAGCTGACTAAAATGGTAGCATCGGGAAAATGTTCTCTGCAAGAAAGTGTTCTGCTTTCTGTGTTTTCAGCACTCCTAACACTATATAAAGGAAATCTCTCTAGGTAACGCATGTCTTTTCTGTTGCTTTTAGATTTTGTTGTTGTTGTTTATTGAAATGATGATACTTCCACATGAT